TTCGAGGATTTCGTGATAGATAAAGGGGTAAAGAACTATATATATATATATATATTTAAAGGAACGAGAGGCAGCTGATTACAAGGAATCCTTTATCGCATACCTTCAGGAAGATCGTGAGCTAAAATGAAAGAGAAGAGGGGGAGGCAAGAAAGAGAGAGTGTGCTTCTTGTTGAAATCAACAACCATGAAGAATCTATGATTATATTGCAAGTGTTAATTTCCTTAACACTTTATCATTTTCCCCCGCGAGGATTTTTCAGATATAATTGTACAATATTCTCTTGAGAAGAGGTGCAACTATACCAATTTTTTTTTTTTTAATGATATACAATCTTCTTTTAAACATAGTACATATCACGAAATATTCCAGCCTCATTGCGGTGTTTCGAGAAACCGTTCGAAAATACACAGACAAGAAAGTGTTATTTTTGGTAAATAAAAAGAAATAAGGAATTAAAGAAAAAATGAATGAAAAGATGAAAAAAAATATAGTAATAGAATAGAAATAAAAAAATTAAAGAAATAGAATACAAATTTCCATGAAAAAAAAAGAAAATTTAAAAAATTACGGAATGTTTAAGTGGTTTAGAGGTTACGCTATTGGATTTCAAAACAAGCGGACCTGGGTTCGATTCTTCAGAGCTTCAAATTTTTATAATTTCAGATTCGACTTTAATCAGCCCTTACAGAAAAGTAGAATATTAAGAAACAGCTACAAAACAAAAAAATCTATAAATTTTTTTTTAAACTGACTAAAAATAAAACAAAAAAAAAGAGAAATTAAAAGACAAAAATAAAATAGAACATAAAATTTAAAAAAAGCAATAAAAAACAAAAAGAAAAATAGAAAGAAAACCGACTATAAAGGGAGGAGAAAAGGAATCGAAAGAAGATGCTGAGAAAGTTTTTAGGCGTCGCTAATTGTGAATTGAGTGAAATTTTCAATGGAGGAGTGTGGAACTCGAACTGATTATTCACAGCCTGTTAATTCGAGTCAGTCTGCCAATGGAATAACATTGAATTACAAATCTCACGCGACACCAACAACAGTCAATGATCGCGTACAACTCGTGAGTCATCATTTCCATAAATTATAACGCAATTCCCGCACACCGTATATACATACACACACACACATATATAAAGCCTATAAAAATTATAAGATCTACCAGTTTTATTACTTGGATGCACGCTTGTCTTGCGGCTTTAGTGCAATAACTACAGAGCAAGTGGTATATTTCTGTAATTAAGTTAGCTGTAAACTGGTTTGCCTGCTAAAGTAAACTCGAATGATTAAAATGATTCAATTTTACAAGTTTGGAAAATTTTAATCATTTTATAATATAGATATCAGAAAAAAATTCCTGGAGTCAATGGCAACCGAGTCAAATTTTTGAAATTATAAATCTTCTCCAAAACTGAGTTAACACACAGAGAAAAATAGTTAGCTATTTTATCTGAAATTTAGTTACCCTAGCTAACCCCAATTAATACACTGAGAAAAAAAAGCTAAAGGCATAAAAATTATTGATTCTGAAGCATATGCTATAAAATTTGTAAAATATTATATAGATTCTATAACATATATGCTTTTAAATTAATAATTTTTATGCCTTTGGCAAAAACGCTGTTGATTAGCAATTATTGTTAGCTAATGCTAATATAATTATCTTCCATAGCTAACATGTTTGGCTGTGGTAGCTAAATATTAGCAACTCCTTTTTTCTCCGTTGCGGATTAACTCTCTAGGTATAAAATTAATTCCCTTTGCTTTAACTCCAAAAAGGATGGAGGTCAAGAAATAAAAAGGTTTTATAGTCTTGGAAGTTAAAATCTACTTTTTTTTTACAGTATGTGCAGGTAACTGACAGGATTATCTTGTTTTTTCCCCTTTCTCTTCTTTCAACAAACAAGTGGCATATGTTTTGACAAAAATTTCCCTGTGTCCAAAAACTTTAAGAAAGAAAAAAGGAAAATGTTTATGTTGTTTTACAACTCGTACGTGATTTTTGGTAAATTCGTCATATTTATCTGTCGAACTAATTTACTTTTTAAAAAACATATGTTAAAAGTTCTTGACAAATTTCCCAGTTTATTATCATTATTCCTACCTGATCCTATACCTAAAATATCAAATCCTGGACAAATTCTAATACCTTTACCTGAGCGAATAATATTTTGTCATTTGGTTTCAATTTAACAAATTTCGCTGATTTTAGAGAGATTGATTTCCAATGATTACAACATTTTTCAGAATCGATGTCTTGTAGTGCTTTATCGTCTCGGAGGAAAAAATACCTTTGAAAAAAGAGGGCTATCGTGAAAGTTCAAGAGTCAAAAAAAGAAGAATCTCAACGATAAATCTCAACAAGAGCGTGTTAGATCGCGTTACAAAGCGTAGCTGGGTTCCTTTGGCAAAAGGATGCTTTTATATTTATGAGCGCACGTGTAAACCATTAATGTAACAGACTATACGCTTCCGTGGCCGTATAGCGGATACGTATATTACACTATTACTGTATTTACAGCGAACCAACTCCGCAGAGGTATATACGGGATTATCAGCGAAGAGAATACCGAGTGAGTGGGTTGGGACAATATTGTTGCAAAGTGAGTGAGAACCACCAGGTGGGAGCTACAATTGTGCATACATAATGAGCTCCTATCGATTTAACTGTGGATAGATAAGTGGTACACATTTCCACTATCGAGACTTCCTGTCAGATACATATATATATACGTTCCACTCTTCTCATGATATCTAATAGCCATATTGCAAAAGAAACGATGATGATGAGGGTCAAAGAGTTTTAGATCAAATACATATTCCCTCTTTCTATCATCATTATACTCTCTAAATTTGAATCAGTGAAAAAGTCACTGGTCTCAAATCAGTCGCTAAATTCTAGCTATTTGAATCAGTAACATTTCACTGATTTTCAGTCAAAGTAATTGATTCTCCAGTGAAATGTCACTAACTGTCAGTGAAAACCACTGATTCAAATAGCTAGAATTTAGCGACTGATTTGAGACCAGTGACTTTTTCACTGATTCATATTTAGAGAGTACCTCAAGGGCTTTCCTATTAATCATCTACTTTGATCTCTAGTTGATCCTTTTCCATATATACTATTGATGATGAGAGATTCAAACATGAACTACGCAATTAAAATGAAATTAGAATCCCTTGTTTCTGCAGATTTTAATTTCAATTATTTATTTGTTTTTCTTCGGATAACCTCTAATCACAAAATGGAAATTTTTTTTTAAAATGAGTTTCTAAATGTCATGTTGCAAAACATTCCACACGAAAAAAATTAATCTCTAAAACATTTAAGCATAAACTATCTTTGAAAATGAGATGTAAGATCTTCAAATCTTTGAGGACCAATTACATTTTTTTGAACATAATTCGATTGTGTAAATAAATAAATTATTTTTTTTAACTAAAATTATAAGAAAGTAATTAATAATTATATATAAATCATATAAAAATTAACTTTTTCCTTGAACAACACTGGATCGTATTAAAAAAGCTAAATTATTTGGTTCAAATAAATATTTATTTTGATAATAACACCGTGCGACACGATTTTTGACCCACAAAAAAATCCAACATTTTCAGAAACTAGGACCAAAAAAAAAATACCCGTGTCTGGTCGTTTTACTCAATCAAGTCGTTTGTAGTTTTTAGGAGTGAAAACAACCCCTAAATGAAAAGTGACAAGATATCTTTTAAAAATTATTAATATTTTATAAAACTTGGTATCTATGGGCGTTTTCGGGGTCACTGATTATTAATCAGATGTCAGATTTTCAAAATTTAAAATGGCGTATCCAATATGGCGATCAAATTTTTAAAAAGTTATTAATTTTTTATTTTATATCCGCCATTTTGAATTTTAAAATTTAACATCAGATTCGACATCAGCGACCCTAAAAACCCCTAGATACCAAATTTTATAAAAAAAATTAATAATTTCTTAAAATTTTGACCGCCATATTAGATCCGCCATTTTGAATTTTGAAAATCTGACATCAGATTAATAATTAGCGACCCTGAAAACCCCCTGATACTAAATTTTATAAAAAATTAATAATTTTTAAAAGAAATCTTGTCACTTTTCATTTAGAGGTCAGACACAGGTAATTTTTTTTTTGGTCCTAGTTTCCGAAAATGTTGGATCTTTTTGTGGGTCAAAAAAAAAATTGAATTTTGTCGGACGGTGTAATCAAGTAACGGATTATTTGAATAAAATAAATTTTTTTCCAGTGATATTCAAATAGAAAGGGAGTTTTAGTTTAAATGTCTCTTGGAAAATTTCTAATTCATATCGCGTAAGAGACGGAAAAGTAACATTATTTTCTAAATGAAATTCACGTAAGAAATATATTAGTAAAATTACTATTGCAATTCAAGATAATATCTGGGTAGTTATATGAAGAAGCAAGAAATGTATATATATATAAGACTCTCTAAGGTAATTCGTTATAATTTAGTATAAAATTTCCAATTTGCTATGGATTCAAGATAACATCTGGACACTTCTGACACAAACATATATAAGAAACAAAACCATACCTCGTTACTTTAATAACAATAATTCATCTCATTATGCAAATGTGAACATAAAGATTATTAAAAACCAAATCGAAATGAGAAACCTAATTTAAAAAATATTTGTAAAAAATTGCTGTCTTTAGGGAAATTAACTTTCTTTTTTTTTTTTTTTTTTTTTTTGCTGAACAAGTCAGGTCAAACATATCGAGCAAAATTAAAAATTGTTTACATAAATCTAATGCTTAATCATTAGCACTTTGCAAAAGAAAAAAAGAAACCTCATTTCACTAAATGGAGTATCGAGACGTGTTAAATTAGCAAGTTAAACTCTTTTTAAATTATCATTAAATGTATCAAGATAAAAAAGAGATTAACATAATGAGTGATTTGAAATTCAAGATTATATATATTGGAAAAGGGAAATTCTGTACATTACCTTGTTGCAGGTACGAGAAGCTAAAGTTTCAAAGTGACATTGCCATTCCAAGGCTCGAAGAAATAGAAGGTGCCAACGACGTTCGAGAGAGCTTGCTACTCGCAATGCTGGATGCTGTTGTCGTTCTTCGTTTTTTCCTTTTTGTTGATCTTCACCCTGTGTTGCTAACTTCTCCCCAAGCTTGACGACTGAACTCACTATACGACCATGAGCCTCTATGTCTTTTTGGAGCACCTGGAAAATTAATCAGAAAAAAAAAGAAAGTTATAAATTTATATTCTCACTTTTAATTAACACTTTATAAAACATTGTAAATCAATGGTAAAAAAATAGTTCAACTTAATAAATAACACATTAACATAAATTCATATAAAATATATATATATATAATTCAAAAGATAAAATTTATGCGGAAATTTTTATAAAGAATTCTCGGAAAAATTGACGAGCATCAAATTTCTCAATGATATAATTTGACCTATTTTCAATTGATGCAATTGTTATGTGGGCTAATTCGCTCTGATTCATATTTGTCCTAATTTAATATAACTTTTGTATAATAATTATTTTTTAATCTAATTTGATAATTTTAAATTAACTTTTTAAATAATTAGGACAAATAAAAATTGGGCCTAATGAAGAATTATGACAATTATATGATAATTATATATTATAGTAATAATATATAAAAAAATTAATTTCAATTCTAAAAATCAAATAAAACGAAGAACGAACGTTTAACTGTAAATTTATTATCTAAATAACCATGATCTACAAACTAAAGCAAAATAGGTTAAAAACCACAATTCTAGATATTTATTTCCCGATATGAATCAAACAAAACTCGTGTATAATCCCTTTATCAAGTCACACCGACCACAAAAACGAAGTACGAACTAGAAACTAAAGATGATCTTGTTCTCGATTCGGTTTCAGTTAGTGGTTATAAATATCGAAAAAAAAATTTATTTCATATTAATAATCAGTTACTTGACTATTATCAAATAAATTATTGTATCTAATTATTATTATATTAATATTATAATTATTATTAATATTATTATTTAATTATTATTAATATTATTATTTAATTATTATTAATATTATTATTTAATTATTGTATAATATTATTTCAGTTAAATTATATTTGTTATTCAAATGCAGAAAAAATTATTCCCTATTTTTAGAATATAACATTAAAGCAACTTCAATATTGCACTTTAGATGAGATTTATTATTAGGAATCGATTTAAATTTTAAATTGTCTGTCCATTCATACGCGCCATCGTTTTGACGCTTAAAATAAATAGATGTGATAAATTTCATTTGGAACTAAACTTTCCATCTATTAACATTTTTTTTTTCGAAATAACTGAAATATATCTATAAAAATTTTAAATAATGAGTTATTTATACAATTAGGGAACTACAAACTACTAATAATAATAATAATAATAATAATAATAATAATAAAAATAATAATAATAAAAATAATAATAATAATAATAAAAATAATAATAATAAAAATATTGAAAATGAATAATAATACTAATAATAATAATAATAATAATAATAATAATAATAATAAAAATAATAATAATAAAAATATTGAAAATGAATACTTAATGATTTTATGTGAAAATAAAAATAGTTACACATTACATGAAAAGTTGTCGATGTTTTCTTGTCGACTTGCAATGAGGTATATATACATATATCTGATACATGCAGAAAGGGCTGGTGAACAACGAGCAATGAAAAAAACATACTTCATGCAGAGTAATCATGACATAGGCTTATGGAAAAATCGTTAACCCGCACACCTGCACACACACATGCTTGTTTCATGTTAATTACTTTTCAAAAGGGGTGGTTCATACATTTTCCATTATTTGCCTCTCTTGTCATATTATACATTTGCTTATATCTTAAACACGATTTTTCCCGCAGTGCTTTCTAGACAAGAAAAAAAAAATCAATTTTTCCGTTGGACATTCCCCTTATTTTACAAAATTTCTATTTACAAACAAACGTTTTTTTGTATCCGGTTTTCGTTTTCCTTTTTAAAATTGGTAGATTAAATAATATAAAAAAATAACTCCCCATAATCAGATTAAATTTTTCACAATAGAAGACGATAAAAATAAAAAAATATACATATAGATTCAATTAATCGGTTACTGACTATTATCAAATAAATATTTTTAAATTGATACCGTTTTTTTTTCAAATATCACAGAAAATTAAAAGGCATTAAAATAAGCTGCAACGCTTATTATTTTAATCCAATTTTGCTTATTTTAATCCATTTTGGTATTAAAATAAGCAAAATTGGATTAAAATAGTAAGTGTTGCAGCTTATTTTAATGCCTTTTAATTTTCTGTGTACAGATTAATTATTGGTCCAAATACATAGTTTAATTCAATATTATTTGGTTTCGAAAATTGTTTCCCTCAAGTAATTATTTATTTGATAATAGTCAAATAACTATTTAATTATTTGAATAAAATAAATTTTCAGTGTACAAGTAAACAGAAAAAAAACGCGAATACAAAAGAGTTGAAAAAAAATGGAATTGTCTTACTTATAAATATTCAGCTTTTCCAACTCGCCCCCTGACTTTTTTGTAAAGGAAAGAAAATTATTACGTGTCGTGAACAAGTGCAATAAAAGGCGTAGCTTTGTCCTTTTTATCCGTTTTGATCTGCCGATGGACAGCAAAGTCTATGGCTTTAAACGCCATATGACGGTAGCGTGTCCAACTTATAATAATGTAATATTAGCTGACACGAAGGCAATGACCGCATACGAGCACTAATTTGCCAATTGCCCCAACTTTTGCAAGTTAGCTCGAAATCCCACAGTACAATAATAAAATTTAAAATCATGCGTCCTTTGACATTCATTTCCGTTTTTATGTATTTTTTTTTTAAATTAAAAAAAAATTTCCCTTTTTTTTTAATAAAGACCTGTAAAATTTTCTCCAAACAGCAGCAATAATATTACACAAAAGAATGTTTTTCTTTTTTTAAATAATCCAAAATTTTCCACCTGCCAATGTAAGGGACACTACAATGAACGAAGGCGTGGTATTTTTTTTTTTCATCCAAGGTGACGAAATAAAATTACTTTTAGAACTTATGCTGCGGACAATAATATCGTTTCGGATTTTAATATAATAATTATCTACCAGAAGGTAATATTTCCTTTACAAAAAGAAAAAAAGATTTTCGTCACTGTTAAAAATTCTTATAATCCTATATAATCCTGGGGGGTTAACACTGTGAGGCTAAAATAGTAGTAAAATCGGTGTTCAGTAAAAATACTTTTACAGGGTTTGTAAAAGGATCCCTTCAATATTGTTCACGAAACAATTGATTTTTAAAATTTTACAATTCACAATTGTCACTTGCGAAATCTTTTACGAGGAAGAGAGAGAAAGAGAGAGAGAGAGATGGCTATATAATCCGGATACTTTTCTGGTTTTCGATCATCGTTATGGGGACCTGCCAATATTGTACCTTAAGATTTTGAGTTCGGTGCACCTGCCTCCCAAAACTTTTCCCTCGCCTTTCTCTATTCATTTTACTTTCTCTCTAGTTTTTTCCACCCTTTCTTCTACTAAAAAAATTATATTCCAATTACACTCTAAATCTGAATCAGTGAAAATTTCCACTGATTCAGATTTAGAGTGTACCAAAAATTATAACAATCTAATAAATTATTTCAAAAATTATTAAAGGGATTGATAATCAGAGATTTTTTTTTATCGTTTTCGCACCTTTGAGCTTATTTAATAAGTGAGAATTGGATACAGCAATTAAATTTCTTTATTGCTCGATTTTTTTTAGCTTCTGCTTTCACCCGAGGCTCAAAGATGACTCGCATTCTTCTTGAATTCTTAACAAAGAGTTTTCATTTCAAGAGAAGAAATTGTGCATATAAATACACACACACAGGCACCATGGGGCAAAAGGTACATAATTAAATTACGAAATTATGTGCACCTGTGCGCGCATTTTAAATACACACAAGCCTTAAAATAAGAGAGAGAGAGAGAGAGAAAACTCGTATACCTTTCACATTATTTGGGCGTATTCTTCAAAATATTAAAATTTTTCTACAATATATAATATATTTAATCATTTTCATAAATTTCACATTTCTATTTTTGGACATATAGATGTTGTTAGGAACTCGCTGTCAAAATAATATTTTGATAATTGAAAAAAAATTCATGTTTTGACCCTAAAAATTCTTATCATTTTAATTTTGAATGTTTTCATATAAATTACATTACACTCAGAAAAAAAAAATATTTGAACCAAATGTACCATTTTTTTATATTTACCCAATTTTTTGGTTAGTTCAAACAAAATTTCTTTAATTCAAATAAATATTTATTTGATCTAAATAACTGTTTGGTTTATTTTAATAAATTTTTTGAACAAAGAAAAAATTTAATTGAGCTAAATAATAGTTTGGTTTATGCAACCAAATGTTTGGTTAACTGTATATCAATGCATTTATTTTGTTGATTTAACCAAAATTTGATTGCTTCAAACGAATTTTTTTCTGAGTGTATTTCGAGGTGCATGATTATTCTATATAAAAATTATTGGTTAGAATTTTCATTTTAAAGAATTTTATTAGATATAATTATTTTTTAGACTTAATTTTATTAAGTAAAAATTCGTTTAAAAAAGAAATTCTAATTCGAAAAATGAAAATTTGTCTAAAAAATAATTATATCTAATAAAATTTGTTAAAATCAAAATTCTAACTTTATTATAGGATAATCATGCGTCCAATAATTATTCCCGCAGGAAAATATTCTCTTATTTAAATAACTCTCATAATTTAGTTATTCTTACTATTTAAATTATTCTCACAATTTAATTATTTTTATAATTCAAATTCTCACAATTTATTATTATTATTATTTAAATTAGGTAACAATTTTTATTATATAATTATCATATGAGGCAATATTTTCCATAATATATAATCACTTTTGCAGAATGTAAAAAATATATAGAAAATTTCCAGGGAAACATTCATATATGTAAAACAGATCCTTTGGGGCAATTCTTTTCAATATTTTTTTCTCTCTTTTATATCGCGTGCTTATAATTCGTCCAGAATGTTTTCCTTTTTTTTCCTATTTTTTTTTGTTTTTTTTTTTAATTTATTTTTTATATATATATATATATATGTATATTGCTACCTCCGC